CTTTGAAGATAGAGGTACCATCTCGCAATTTGAGACGGGGAGCAAATTGCTAAATGTTTGAAATTTTTTTTAAATACATATAGTTTTCAATAAAATTTTTGCATTACCTTTATCTCTTATTATTGAGAATTTAATGCTCTATCTGTCTATATGTATTTTTTTATTTGGGTTTTGCTTACCGTTATGTAAATAAAGTCATTTTTTTATTTCATTGCTCTTAAAACTTAAACTGGCTAACGGAACTATCGAGAACGCGGACGTTTTGTTTCACATCGTGTTTTTTTTACTATATTCAAGGGTGGGTGTAGGTGCGTCACTTACCATGTCATTCCCTCTGGGAACCACCGAAACGGTTTGAGTGATTCTCAATAACTCTTTCATTTGAAATATATTGCTGATTGCAAGTTTTAAAATTGAACATTGGATATTAATTTATTTTTTTTTGTTCGTGTCGTTTAAAAATATATTATATTAAAAAAAACTTCTATTTTGGCTATTTTCTTTTTTCATGAAAAAGCCGTACGGAAGAATTTTTTGGTTTATTTTTGGCGCATTCTAGATTACTTACTAATGTTACTATATTCTTTTCATACAATTTTTGAATCATATGTTTTTTCATAAAAAAAAAACTCTTGAATTTTGCAATCCGTTACACATATTCAAAATGAGATAAAAACTCTGTGTTACCGTGTATGTGAGGTACTGATAATTCAGGAACAACATCCAATTGTAAAGAAACCAATTTATTTACTGTTTTTCTTCAAAATTCAATATTTTTTTTGTATTAAGACTTGTTTGAACGGCTTTCCGTTGAGCATGGTCTCTCCACAAGCGACAAATTCATCCGATGGTACATTTTGGAACTGGCTAGAGACTTGCTATCTATCGGTTTTTAAATAATAGGCACAATGGTTTTAATAACTCCAAACAGGTAAAAAACCGGAGTAAGCCAAAAGAACTATAATGGAGATCTTTAAATATACTTTTAAATTTTGACATAAAAAATGAGTGTTAATAAAACAAAAAAATCATAATTCAGAAACTATATGAGTAGTATTGCTACTATTTCTAATAGCCTATAATGGGTGTTTTTTTTTTCAAATTTAGCATCTGCAACTACGTGAAAATCAAAGGTTCAGTTTTTAAAGAAAGTTTGGCTTGCCTAAATTGTAACATTTTCAATAAATATTTTTATACATTTATAAATTGAATATACATATTTTTGTAAAGCAATAAATAAAAAACCGTTTTTACTTAAGAAAAAAATTATTAGTATGGTAATCCCAAAAGTTTAAAAAATGAATTAAAATATAAAATATTTTGGCATCGCTCCTTTAGAACCTTTAAACATTTATTAATTTATTTCCAAAAAAAAAAACTGGTAGTTTACTCAAAAAAAATTCTTGTAAGTCAAAATTTTTTTAAATAAAAAAGTGTAAAATTAAAAAAAAAAAATGTTTGAATAGCATTTTTATAGCCATTGCAAACCTATAAATTTATTTGCCAAAAAAATTGATAGTTTCGCCAAAATAAAATGGTTTTCAGACTTGTACCACCCTGTACATATGTAATAAAAACGTTCAATACAATTTTTTGAAAAAAGTAGTTTTTGTATTTTTAGTAACCTAACATTACAAAGCTATCCATAAAATTTTGATTGTGAACGAAGTGAACGAACCATCGTATTGAAAGTTATTAATCTGACATTTGACACGTCGCTGGACGTATTATAAATTGTGGTCCGTTTACAACACTTTCTTAATCACCCCCGACTATGACGCCAAATTTAAATAAACACCCGTTATAATCATGGAGGAACAAATACAGGGTGTTTCACATAATTTTACGAGGCCTGCGCCTGTAAAATGCTTTCAATAATACAATAATACATATTCCGATACAAACTCGATTACAGATTTTGTAATATTGGATAATCTTCTCTAATTTGTTCACCTTTTTAAAAATTACAACATTTTTAGTTAGTTAGTATGGCATAATTTTAACCACAAATACCCCTCTACAAATGAGAATAGTATTTATTGACCCACCTCAAAAAATAATTTTTTGGAAATATTTTTGTTATCGTTTATCTGATTATGAAATTTGCATAAAAGACACTCGTTGATATGGTGTAAACGAAAGTCTTGTAAAAGCTATACATTTCCGGTGACAATAGTCTTTCCAGTTTTCGGGTCATAACTTTTTTCTTCGGCTTATTAACCTCTATTTTACCAAATTACCAATACCAAAAATTGGAAGCCAATCATTTTCTTATAAATAAGGTACCCTTCAATGACGAGTTGGATTTTTCGAAGATGATAAGTTCAGGCTTCCTCCCAAGATGTAATTTTTCAATGACGAGTGCTTTCATGAGATATCATGTGAACTCGCGTAGGCATGAATAGCATTATTGTGTGTTATTATTTTTTTCAAATGTGTTAATAATAATTCCTTGTTGTAAATCACCAAGATCATCAACAGAAGTTTTGGACATTGTGTTTTTCAAATGTGGACATAAGAAAAAGTCACATGACTTCGAACTATTTTAAAGGATTGAAATTACACATGACTAATATGTCTATCTGTCTCTTCCAGGGCGAACTCTAAAACCATCTCTGAAACACAATTCCGTTGCTTACCCGCCGATAGTTATTATTGAATAACATTATTAAAGATTTACACATAATAGTGATTTATTTTAAAAACTAATTACATTTTTACTTTTGACTTTGATTTATAATTTCAATTCAACTGCTATATCAGATGGAACCTAATCTCCATGTACAATTTACATTATGGATAATTGATTTTTCTTATCTCACCATTTTAAATGCTTGTTTGTGTACTTTCACAAAAGTTTGCATCAGGGAAATTTTAGCAACGTGCACTTTAGAGATTTTAAGCTGAGCGTCTGATAATAAAGCTACAAAAAGATGATAAGGTGCTTTATTTATGGAACTCGGACGAAGCATAAGAACCAGCATATTTACAGCAAAAAGTTTTTCGATAACACATACCGGAATCTAAAGAAATGTCTAGGTTTATTTCACTGTTGCCTGAATTTCTTTTATGTAATGTGGGTTTATATGCAAGATATGTAGTATATTTCTTTCAAAATCCTCCTTTCATGACAATAAATTTAACTTTTAGTCAGTGTTAGAAAATATACAGTTTCCACGCTTTTCAGCATTATTCGCCGTTGCAATGCCAATTCGACAACTTGTCAAAAATGTATGCATTGGGCTTCAAAAAAACTTAATTTACCAACAGTCACGATTAAAGAAATAATTATTTTGTTAATAACTATAAATTCTTATTTTTTAAGTTATCTGTAAGTAGTTATGATTTTTTATCTTATTATTATCTGGAATATGAACTTTAGGGATCTGAATATACATATATTATACCGGTATTGCGAGAGAAGTGCGTCAAAATTGAAACGTAGCAAAGCTTTACATATCAAACAGAAGTGAAGGTGTCAAGCAGGTCACGCTAGACGTGTCATCCTGTAATGGAAACTCGGTCACAAGAGATTCATACGATTCTGTGTTTTCTCCACAAAACCAAATCTCACGAATGCAGATGAGAAAAAGGCTATTTTCTTTGTATCACTTCTTTATTCTAAAAATTATATTTTACATACTTAATTTTATTTAATTTCTTATTCGATTTTGTTAGCTATAAATTGTTTTGTTGTAAGCTTTTCTAATATATGACGCTTAACAATTTCATTAGCTTAAAACATTTTATAGTATGAGACTCTTTTCTTTCTTTTTATTAAAACTTACGGGTTTATCTAACATCACTTTTATTGCAAATCGAATACCTGAAAAACACCAAGCAATCGTGAAGATCCACTTTTATCGAACAGAGGCCAATATCACCAAAAACTGAAACATTTTTTAACAAAAAAATTTTATTCGGTAAAAGAAAACTGTTTTGGCATTATTACTGTAAAACATATTAAACCAAAACTGAAGATGGTTTCTTAAGATTTTTTGCACAGTAAATGCAATCAAGAGTAAATGAAATCTAGCAATGATATTGACTTGGGAAATAAAATGATTGCGTTGGGACATTGTCGACACGGACGCAATAATTATATTTATTATGGTATTCTCAATATTCTTAAAAAACTCATTGTAGCGAGTCAATGATTTTTTGTAAATCAAAACAAAAAATGTGTATTCTTTTAAAACATGTGAAATTCTTCATTAAAAAACTCAATAAATTAATTTAAAGATAGTTTCCCATATGTAACGCCAATTCTTACATTTTCTTGAATCATATAAACTATAACATAAAAACTAACCATCAGGGCTTAACTACCCAGGAGCTAATAAATTACTTAGGTATAACAATCAATGTTTCATAAATCTTGTTGCTGTTGATGTTCAAAATATTACGTCAATGTAGTACAAGTGTTTGTCCTTTAATCTTAAAAACAAGAATAATATCTGCCACATTACCAGAAATAGCTAATGACCATAGAGATCCTGTGTTCAAGTTAACCCGGATAGGAGAAACGAAATTCTCGATTTAAATTTTCATTTTTTAGGGTTCAGCCCTGCTCGATTAAAGACTAATCTCTAACACAATTTTAGTACTGAAAAATCAAGTATGCCTTGAAAATTTTCAAAAAACCTATTTTTTATCCTACACTATCAGAAAATCCAATTTTACCGGCTACTTAGACAGGAGAAAACATGAATTTGTCCAGCTGGCCCTACAAAAGTATCGAAAATGCCTAGCCGGTAAAATAATCGCCAGGTTTTACCACCAGGTGGCTCTTATATATGTAAATTTCTGAAATCGACTTTGTCAAAAATGTGACAGTGATCGGTGGAGGCCTAATGGGGTCAGGGATAGCTCGGGTAAATGCTCTAACACCATTGCCCACTTTTCCATTTATATTTCCCAAAGTTGTCCGACATAACCTCACTTTCAAAACGTAAAAATCAGTGTTAGCAATTTTGACATTTATGTCAAATAGGTACTTACGTTAGGTCGATGTGCTCCGTGCTCCCCAAACCTCAAACTCATTTTTGTGTATATTTTGCTGTTTGATAATGAATACAGCGGGTGGAATCGATAGAACTATAGAAATTGACCTAGAATGCGAAGAAGCAATATTGCACTCCGCCTGAAATTAATAATAAGGCGAAGGAGGTTACACTGGATTTACTGCCTAACAAGTCAAAAGAAAAATATAACCTCCAGTACAAACTATTTATGGATTGGTGTTCTACAAAAAACGTGAAAAGGTACGGTGAAAACGTCATCTTAACGTATTTGTTCGTTTTACGTGTTCGATTTGTGTAGGATAAAAAATTATGTGTAAACCATGGCGGTAAAGTAGTTTTCCAGGCCTCAATAAGTGGCCAGGCTCGGCTGCGCCTCTTCTTTTGACCTGGAAAACAACCACTTTACCGCTTAGGTCTACAATATACTATTTCTGTAAAATGTCTTTTGTGTGGCAAATACGACAAAAAATATTTAAAAAATTGATAACATTTCAACAAATTGTATAAAAATCGATTACTCCATTAAAAGTTATTACAGAAAAACGAAAATAATTTTTAAACTTTGACGTCCTCTGATTTTTAAACGGTACAACTTAGTTTAGAAGTGAATTGGATTAAATGGCTTTATTTTTATCTGGGAAATTTCAGGTCACTCTTTGTCCCCATCTTTTCGTTATATCCTGTATTTCTAACAACATTGAGAAAACGAATCATCAAAGGTTAGTATATATGACATTTAACTAAATAAAGGCTTTAGAATGTCATCTCTTTCATGTTCCACAAACAAATCAGTGACACAATGCGTAATTTTTGTTTAATTTGCCGTTTTCGACTTATATGTAGGTACAACATGGCCCCTCCTATGCAGTCTCAATAAAACTGATTCTATGTGGATGACTGCTTCACATTTATGGTGTTCAGGTGTCGTAAACATGCCTTATTATCCCGCTTTACGAGCCACCGTCTCCATCCAGCCCTACAAACATGAATCGCCGGCTTGGTTCATTTTCTTACAAGGTGTTATTTCGGACACCAATAAACCACAAAACAACTCTTTTTATCTGATATAAAATTCTCTTATTGAACCTATATTTCCGTTATTTTTTTCTCTAAAAGATGTTATTTCAGGGTGTGCGTTAGTGAGTAAGTAAGTAAGATCTTGAATTTTATTTCACTTCAACTTCAGCTCTTCAATCTCTTTAAACAAAATACAATAAAATAAACATTGTTAAAAAAATGTTAATAATTACATAACACATGGTATGTATTTAAGAGCTTATCTTTCGATGAGTTTGTTGTTTTTCCTTCCTTGGATTGTATAAAAAAAATATTTAATTTTTTCCCTATATTGATTTTTTTTTCAGAACTTTTTTTCCATTCTATAAGAATCGACTGAAAAACATGTGTGAATACACAATTAAAACAATAAATATTATCATAAAATAAATTATTCATTCTTGCAGGCCAAATTGGAATATCTTCACTCACCACACACAAATTACTGTTGGCAAAAGAAGATGCAATAATAAATCTTTTCTCCCCCAAACTATTCCTACGTTTTGTATCAAAATTTAAGATCCGTTAAGCTTGAAGAGGGTCCTGATGATGGGATCGAGCTCGCGTTGGTGTAAGGGTATCTTTGAAAGAGTAGGGGGAAAGCAGTTTTTTGTAAAATTAATTTCATGTTCCAAGTTTTTCTTTTTTTGCAAGTATTTTTCCAACGGCACTATCCGTGGCCTTCCTCTCCTTCTCTTTCCTTGAGCTTTTGCTTCCCCTACTTGTTTTCGCACTCTGTTTTCGGTCATTCTATTCAAATATCCCAACCAACTGAGCTGTTTTTTTTTATAAAATTCGTCAGTTGTGTAATTTTCAGCTCTTCTCTTATTTGACTCCTCCGCATTTTGTCCTTCAGTGTTACTCCTTTTAAATAAGGAATCTAAGGTAAGATACCATGAACATGGAAAAATGTTTTGACGTTTCATTAATAGTTATTTGTATTGCAAGGGAGGAAAGTGTATTCCTGCCTCCCACAGTGAAAGTTACTACCAATGTAATACATACAGGGTGTTTCAGAACTCGCGCACTAGAGAAAAATTCCAAGGAAGATAAGATACCATCAGCCACATGAAAAAAACGTTTAAAAAATTCTACCTATCTGTCAAAAAATTTTAACATTTATTTTTTGACATTTGAATTTTTTTATGTCTATTTAATGATACTGATGATCTTATGTATGTTTTTTATAATTATTTAATAAAGGTACAAAAATTTTGTCAATAAAAGATACAAATAACATTAAGTAGAGTTACAATTTAAGATTTAGCTTCCTTGTTTCCTCTTCTAATAGTGTGTAGCAAAAAACTTTGGAAAATAATTTTTCTAACAGAAATAAATAGTCAGAGTGCAAATTTTAGACTCTTATAACATCGAAATTTTCATAAATAGATTTTTTTTAACATGTTTTCCATTTTTCTGGTAGGTATCTTGACTTACACGGCATTCTCTTTTGGGACGCTAGTTCTGGCGCATCCTGTATATACGTTCATCTTGGTTCTTCTCGAAATTTCTTTTTTGCTTATGAAAGTCTTATTTAGTATTTAATATAGTTTATTACTTTTTTCTATCCTTTCCATTATGTCGAATTGTTTTCCGGTATCTTCTGTCGTAACGCCTATGTAATTAAACTTCTTTACTTGTTCCATCAATTTCCCGTTTATCTCAATATTTATTTGAGGTTTTTTGTTAATTATTACCATTACATACCTTTGTCTTATTTTTGTTTATTTTCGTCGATTTCTGTCAAAACTTCGTTCCAAATATTCGGATTATGTTGTAATTCAAAAAAAAAAAAACGTAAGATAAAGCATAAACTCTTTTTCATATTAATGTGCATCAAGTAGGTTGTCTTTAACTTAAAAGCTAATTAATACAAAAAGTTTCATTAATGTCATTCAAAATAAATTTAATCACATCAATAATGTGTTAATTATGTTATTAATTTTAATTATTTTTTGCTACATTTATGTATTTGAAAAAATAATTTAAAAAAAAAAAGATTGAAGTTAGGATTTTTGCATGATTTCCACCTTCAAATGATCCCTGCTTGGATGCACATTAATATGAAAACAAGTAGGTATAGGTGAAAAGTAATAAAGGAGCATCAAGCATTCTGTCAACATGACAAACGGTAATCAAAATTCTGAAACAAGGTTAGAGAAAACTATAAAGAAAAGATTTATTTAGACTTTTACTCTGTCATGGAAATTAAGCGGACGAAATTCACTATCCGTCACTGTACGAACGCAAAATAGAAAAATAAAAAAGTCACAGTAATAAACAATAGAAAATTCAGGACAGTTGTAAGCAATCATTTTTCGATAATAATATAATTAACGGTGTTTTTTTTTGACGTCAAACCTCTTCATAAAAGTTTGATAGTAAGAGAGCCATCTCGCCAAGCATTAAAAACTGTGGTCCGTTCACCACTGTTTGTCCAAAATCTTATAATTTTTCATTTTGCTTTCTAAATCATAATTATATTATTGTTACTTCTTAACCTAAGTAAGATTGAACGTTTTTCTATTACTCCTGGAGACCCTATATGTAATATGTATTTATTTTATTTTATTTCAATCTAATTTTCAGTAGGATTTCAAAGATTTTATTTTTCCATTTCAAATGTGTAGTTGACCAATTATTTCTCTTCTCACAGCACTTTTTAACAGGACGTGCTTACTTCTTACTGGCATGGCTCAGCGCCTTAAACTCTAGGGTTTCTTGTACACCTCCACCCCTTAAATCCAATACAGTCCGTGCCAAGTAACTCAACCGCAGGTATTAAGAAAATATTTGAAATCGTTTCTTTATACGAACTAGTAGATATACACAAGACATATTCGTGTCGTTATATGTTCTGGAGCTTTACACAGTAAATGTCCACATGTGATCTTATCCAAACGTATTAAATAAATCCTGTTATTTTTTCAAACATAGAACAATTTTAATAGAAAATCAATCATCATTGTCGCTAGTTCTGAATCTATTGAAGTATAACAAAATGTACCTAATAATTTAGCATTTATGGTAAATAAAATGTTAAAAATTAAAGTTAAAATTAAATATGTAATAATAATTATAATCTGCATCAAGTTTAATATCATTTATTTGTATTCTAGACATTTAAAAGTTTGTGTTCTTAGGTAGACAATTTAACTACTTATTAGACACAGAAACGAAAAATAGTGTGTTTCAATTATTTTTTAAAGATATTTAATTTTTAACAAACTTCTTAGTTTTTTTACCTTTATTATTATAATCAGCGACAAAAATCTTGTGGGTCTAAAGTTTGTAATTCCTTCTTTATAATTGTGAATTCGTTAGGAGTATTTTTCTAAAAATCTTTATATTTGTGTATCAATTGTTTATATTTTACACTGTTTTTATGGTGCATTTGACATTATTATGACATACTTCTTTGTAATAATTTCTGTTTAGTAGAAATTTTAAATTTTGTTGAAAAAAATGTTGAGTATTCATGTTATTCGTGGCTTTTATTGGTAAAATTTTTGTACCTTTATAAAAAAATGTCAAATGTCAAAAAATAAATGTCAAAATTTGTTGACGGATAGAATTTTTTAAACATTTTTTCCATGTTCCTGGTATCTTATCTTACTTGAATTTTTTCTCTGGAGCGCGAGTTCTGGCGCAGCCCGTATAGTTTAAAAGATGAAACTTTCGTTGTTTTAACAACTAGTATAAAAATAGTGTTTTCGTCAAGAAATCAAGATATTGTAAAAACTATGCAAAATCGACTTGCAAGTTTAGTTTAAAATCATCGAAATTAAAATCTACTAATCTACATCCAAAAAAGCAAAAAAACTAGTGTTTCAATAAAAAAAAACATAAGTTTGTATTGTAATTAATAAGTAATAAGTTGAAACACCTTATATACTTAAAAATTATTTTAAGTAGATAAGAATATCTTATCATACCAGGTGTCCCATCGAGTTGGTGAAGTTTATTATTGATCTTTAAATGTTAAAATTTAAATAAAATTATAGATATAGGAAATTGATAAATACCGTGCGATCAAATAAAAAATAAATTAGAGTAGGCGTCGATTAAATTCTACAGTTGGCAACACATTGGCTGGAAATCTGGGCTGGAAATTTTTCACACAAACTGAAAGTGAAAATGATCATCAACCGTTTTCCGGTTGATCAACCCTTTACAGCAATAAAAATTTTCTGTTCTAAAGTGAACATTACTTCACTCAAAAATAATAAAACGCAAACTTGTCAAAGTTTCCGGTGACATTTGATGTCAAAAATTAGGATTGCCCTCTGAAGGACTTTAATCACCGCCTACTCTAATTTATTTTTTTTTTTTGATCGCACGGTACTTATCTAGTGCATCGCTTGAAATTTTTGTCAATTATACAGTGTGTCCCAAAAATAAGTACAATACAAATTTATGTTTTTTTAAATGAAACATCCCACCTAATGTTTAGTGGCATTTTTGGATATACGTAGCTTATTATTACATTGTTTTTAAACTAAACTTTTATTGGTCGATTTTGCTTTGTCGTTTTTTATGAAAACATCCTCTTTTTAAGAATTTATTAAATCTAGTGTCTTAAGATTTTATTATATCTTGTTGGTAAAAAGAAAACAGGGGCTCAGTCTTGTTAGTCGGTTAGTCTTCGAAATAATTTATTGCTTAAATACATTTTGTAGTTGCAAAAAGGAAAATAAAATTAGGTAACCTCGTGTGTCCTTTCTTTTTCGAACCGTGTTTTCTTAAGGGCAGCAACGACGTTTGCCTTGTCCTGAAATTTTAAACAGCTTGGCCGGGTCATAAAGTGAGCACGTGTTCAGGCATAAACTGTTTTTATTTTTCCAGACTCTTTTATTGCTTGAGCAGGGGCTTATTGTTATAAAATATGTACTTTATACTTTATAAGGTACACATTTTAGGACGAGAGACATGGAGTAATTTAATGTTGATTTCCTCCGTTGTTAGAAATTTTACTTCTATTCTCAATCGAATTTTTATATAATTAGTCAACCTA